GTCCTCCATGTCGGCACCCAGCCGGGCCTGCGCCGCCTGCAGCTCCTTGGACAGCCGTGCCCGCGTCTCCTCCGCCACTGGGCTCAGCTGTTCCTCCAGTTCCGATTTGTAGGCCTTCAACTCCTTCATGGTCTCGTCCATCAGCGTCCTGCAGCCGAAAGAGCGGGAGGGTGTGCGCACAGAGGGAGGCGAGAAGGGCTGGGATAGGTGTGGGTGAGATGGGGATCAGCCGGAGAGACCCGAGAAGGAAGAGAGGAGAGTCTCCTAAGGAGAACAGGGAGAGACAGAAGGGCAGTGAACCGAGAGAGAAGGAACGGGACAGAGGCAGAGAGGAGACAAAGACAGACGCAGAGAGCAGAGGCAGAGACGAAGAAAGAGCTAGGAGGCCGGGCAAGGTGGCTCATGTCTCTATTCCCAGCACTTTGGGAGGCGAGGTGGGAGGATCGCTTGAGCCCAGAAGTTCAAGACCAGCCTGGGCAACACAGTGAGACCCCATCTCTCTGTCTCTATATAAAAGAGCTAGTGAAGGACAGAGACAGAGCCAGGACGAGTGTGAGAGGCTGAGTCAGAAGGGAAGAGGGAGAAACAGAACTGAGAGAGAGAATTCCAGAGAGCTAAAGCCAGGAGTCAGAAATGGGAAGAGGAAGCTAGAACCAGCAGAGACCCAGGACTCCCAAGACTTAGTGGCAGGGGCAGAATGAAACCTGGACCTGGGGAGGTATAGCCGCCCACCAGAAGGGTCAAGGGCCGGGATGGGGACACTCACGTCAGTTCCTGGGTGACCTGGGGGCTGAGCAGCTCCTCCTGCACCTGCTCAGACAGTGTCTGCACCCAGCGCAGGTAATCCCAAAAGCGACCCAGTGCCAGCTCCCAGGGCTGGCCGCTCTGCCACTCAGCCTGCTGGTGAAGCTCGGGTTCTGTCTCTGGCTCCACCGGTTGCTCCACCTTGGCCTGGCATCCTGTGTGGAACAAGTTGAAGGTGGTTCAGGTTCCTTCTGACCCCGTCCAGGCACCTAGTACCTAGGGGCACACAGAAGGTGCTCCACAAATGCTGCTTTGGAGCCATGGTGGGCAGGGTGAGGGGGGAGTCTGTTTAATCACTTGAAAAGTGTTATTTATTTACAGATAGGGTCTTGCTCTGTCACCCAGGCTGGATTGCAGTGGCCTGAACATGGTTCACTGCAACCTTGACCTTCTGGGCTCAAGCGATCCTCCTGCCTCAGCCTCCTGAGTAGCTGGGACCACAGGTGTGTGGCACCAGGCCTGGCTAATTTTTGTATTTTTAGTAGAGACAGAGTCTCACTATGTTGCTGAGTCTGGTGTTGAACTCCTGGGCTCAAGTGATCCTCCCACCTTGGCCTCCCAAAATGCTGGGATTACAGGGGTGAGCCACCGTGCCTAGCGGAAAAGCGTGTATTGAGTGTCCTTGTGTGCCCCAGGCAGGGCTGTGTGGGGTGATGGAGAATAAAGATCACAGCTGTCCCGTGTCTGGTATTCTAATGCAATGCATTAGAAACCTCTTAACTCCCAGCCGGGCGCGGTGGCCCACGCCTGTAATCCCAGCACTTTGGGAGGTTGAAGCAGGCAGATCACCTGAGGTCAGGAGTTCCAGACCAGCCTGGCCAACATGGTGAAACCCCGTCTCTACTAAAAATACAAAAAAAGTTAGTCGGGTGTGGTGGCATGTTCCTGTAGTCCCAGCTACTCCGGAGGCTGAGGCAGGAGAATGGCGTGAACCTGGGAGGTGGAGCTTGCAGTGAGCCGAGATCCAGCCACTGAACTCCAGCCTGGGAGCCACCGCACTCCAGCCTCGGCGACAGAGGGACTTCATCTCAAAACAAAACAAAAACAAACAAACAAAAACTTCTAACTCCTATATTAAGGATGGGGAGGCCGGGCGCGGTGGCTCACGCCTGTAATTCCAGCACTTTGGGAGGCCAAGGCGGGCAGATCACGAGGTCAGGAGATAGAGACCATCCTGGATAATACAGTGAAACCCCTTCTCTACTCAAAGTACAAAAAATTAGCCGGGCATGGTGGCGGGCGCCTGTAGTCCCAGCTACTCGGGAGGCTGAGGCGGGAGAATAGCGTGAACCCGGGAGGCGGAGCTTGCAGTGAGCTGAGATTGCGCCACTGCACTCCAGCCTGGGCGACAGAGTGAGACTCTG